ATTATTAGCAGTGTTCTTCCGACGTCTGGTTTTTTTTTAAAAATGCGTTTCTAAAGTGCATAAGCTTTTGAGATTGACTGTATAGCCAATACATCCTTAATTTAACGTCTGGCTCGATTAGTATAACTTCTGTCGTGGCTATTGTAATTTAAAATCGCGATTTGTTAACAGGAGTATAGAGTGATCGCGGATTTAGTTCGTGCCACTTTCACGAGGTCTGCTCTCCTGCTTGGATCCTCGACTCGTTGATAGGAATATAAAATAATGGAGAGCTAAGCAAACCTTCGGACCAAGGAACGGAATGCTACACGACATATGTACATGTATAATTACAAACTTCAATGGTTTGTAACTCTGTAAAAAATGATGATTGAATGAAACGATCCCAACCACGAGTAGAACTGGGAAAGCTGCCGCTTTGAAACCTCATTTTATTTTTAATAAAGCCAATTTTTTTTCACTCCTCTACCAATCTTCTAAAAATTCAGTAACTTCAATCCTGTACAACTTCGTAACAAATAAGTGTATCAAAGTGCGGTTTGCACTGTTAAGAATGCAAAAGCTTTGTTTTTTGAATACCGTTTAATTCGTTCTAATCCGTTTTCCGGGCTCGGAGATATCGTCGCGTAAAGACAACTAATTTTTTCGGCGCCACTATTGCCGTCCTCTTCGCACCTTGACCCAGTTACGGACCTACCCCACTCCGGTCAGACAGCCAGACGGCGCCTGCGACGGATTTCCAGGAAGTAACCCTTTCATTCGAAGAACAGAAGCGGAGACAGATCCCAAGGGAATTCCCTGAGCGCTCGGACATTGAAATCTCATATCTCAGGGATGGTTTGAAATACAGGGATGAATTAAAACCCATCGGTCTCGTCTCGAGTTCCTGCGTCAGTTGAACGAGTTCTCAATCTTACAATCATTGTCATTAAGTGGTCATTCGTAGATTGTTAATGGCGTGAACTTGTAAATCTGTAACTTTGTTTCTACTACTCTGAATTGGACGGAAATCAAGAAAGATCTGTCTAACAGCCTTTCAAGTTTGATGAAGACATTTCCAGGAATTCGTAAATACCTCTTGCCTGATTATGTTCTCTTATTAACAAAACCAATTTTTAAGAGGAATCGGGGATTCGAACTTTGTGTTAGGCGAACATGATAGCGTAAGAGGTAGCAAAATATCTTGGAAACGACGTCTTTTCTATATAGGAAGCGAAATTCAAAGATTTGACTTATAAGTCGAGGAACGTCGACGTAAAACTAGCGATCTGAGGTTTATCGATATCACCGTCGCGTAATTATCACGGTGCCGCGATGATAAACTATATTTGACTTACTATTGAGTATCGGCCGCGGGGTTCCTGAGGGAACCGACCGAGTATGGGTATGCATCCTCGGTGAGATTCACACGTGGCCGGTCACCCTTCCTTGCTCTGTGTACGCTCGATTCGATTAGATTTGATGCTCCCCTGGAGAACGCGGCGTCTCGCATAGAGCTGTTGATTCATGGGATATCCAGGTACAGAAACGAAATCGCAGGCGACGCGTCGACGCAAAATGAAGAGAACGATGCGAGATTCGAAATGCGCTAATTATTCCACTAATTAGGGATACGATTGGAGGAGCGCGATAAGGGGGCCTCACGATGCGATCGCTGTCCGTCAACGGCCGACGGCCGAACGGAACGATTTTATTCCCGTGACTTCGGAGAAGAGCGAGGGAGCAGCGAGCAAAGGGTTGGCTGGGCATTATCGAGATTAGACCAGAGCGCGTATCTGGTGTCTCGCGTGGCTCGCGTCGAGATTCCGATGAATGGATAGCAAGGAAAATATATAACCGAGCGATAATAGGGAGGAATCGGGACAGCTGCGTAACGGTTTACGACTCTTTGTGCCGTGCACCGAATAATGCCCGAACTGTCAAAAAATTTATCGATACTATCTGCTCTCGCTCTCCTGGCAAATATTTACATCGTACACTGAATCCGAAATGATGTCAACGTACTCCGATTTTCGAGCACGCGTTCACGAAACAGTCATCGACGATACTGATTAATTTTGATCGTCGGAAAAACTGCGTCTGGCCGGACATTAAAAAGAAGAAGGCGAAGGACGAGAATTCCTTCGACGATCCGTCGTTCGGAGCATCGCGATATTTATGGATTCCGAGATTAAAAGCACGCCGGTGATCAGCACCGAGGAGAGACGAGCTCCGAGTAAATTAATTATATCGACGGTACCGCCCGATAATTTATAACTGAATGCCTCTTTGTCCGGTGATTTGGTTTCGTGTCCGGGCCGGTCGACGCGATTTCGACATTTCTCTCATATTTATTTCCTCCGGTTCGCGGAAGGATTTTGAAAATCGACCGCGATAAAAGGTGCGTCCCCGAAAACTGACAGATAAACTGGATCTAGTCCTGAATGGGATCTATTGTACAGGACCGAGTCGCTTCCGGGGTCAAGACACACGCGCCATCGATAATTTTATGAAGTTCCTAACGCCGACGGCGAATCTCGGCGGGATATCTCGGCGGAGACGCGAGGCGAACAGCTGTGACAGGCTGACTCTCGTCAGCTTTTTCCTCCAGCTAGTTTTTGCTCGGAAAAAATTACACCGTCACCCCGATATCGCCGTGCGTCGACGACGAACACGATCAAAATACGACGCGATGACGGCATCGGTTATTTCTACGCGGTAACCGAGCGAGTTTCCCTCCTCGAAACGTGGGGAAAAGAGTTTCAGAGATACGGTGGAACTCGCGCGTGGCGTGTTCGCGCTCGATATCGATTTAAATTTCAAAGCCGAGGAACGACAAAGACCTGGCCGGCCAGCTCTTAATCTAACGCGGATAAGTGGCATAAAAGTCGCGTCGCGACCGTTCCCACGTTCCCCGTTGGACGGATACTCCCGCGATAAGGCCTGTTTGCTCTGGGAAACTTGAAACGGTCCATTCGCGGTTCTGAGCTCTCTCGCAACACCCCAATTCAACGAACCGATCAAATATTTGTCGGCTCTTTTACGCGAACCGAGAGTTGCGCAAAAAAAAGTCTAAGCGCTTTGTTCGGAGACGTGTGAGGGAGAAGGTGGTTTCAACGATGTATTTCATCTCGAAATAATTTTCCTCTTTATTCCTAGAAACTTTCAAATATACCGTCGTACTTATAAATTAGAGTTTTCATTCGCGCGCTATCTGATTCTACACGCTCTACACTTTGTCTTATATAGGCGGCGCGATAAATAGATATAGGTACGTAACAATGCAATAGTTTTATTTTTGTAAGTACAAAAGCACGACTATCGATTACGGTGTTTTGTTAGTATCCTCTGCGTTAATTACCGATCTACAGCGTGCTTCTTCGATCGCCGCTCGAAACGTACACCCGCGCACATCCGAAGGAGCGACGAGATCCGCCGTCCTGCCCTCGCACGTTCATTACATTGTGACCTCCTCGATTATTCGTCTGGTCTACGACCGATCGAATTTCGCAAGTTTATTTGAAGAGCGTGCCGGCACGTTCGCAGTGCGGCCAGTTTATACTTCACCCGCCGTATACATATATTATTATATTTAGATCACGCGGCGGGGCACCGTATCGAGCGGCCTGTTTGTTTAGCCTGAAATTCTGCGCTTTGGAATGGCCGGCTGTCATGGAATGATGTCATGGAGTAAGATCGTGGCTCTGCGCGCTTTTCTCACCGCGCCGATTCGACCGCGGTTCGCCACCAAAAAATTCGTTTCATACAGACACACACACGCATGCTCTTCGATCGGGTTCGACAAATTAAACGTTCTCGAATCCGATCTCCGTCGAACTGACGCCGCAGACCGAATTGGCCGAGGCGCTGTCACGCGCGTCCCTACATATAGTGCGGCCAGGTTTCGATGCCAGGTACGTAACGTTGGTACTGCGCGTAGGACGTGGATACGTGGGGGTGGCTCATCTGCGTGCTCGCGTGGGAATAGTGCGGATTATGGGAGGAGGATATGTATTGCATGGAAGGGAGAGGCGGTTGAAGCTCGTGGTATCTGACTATGTCCGCCTGCGCTCGATCCTCCCAAGAAGCCTCTGCGATTGCCTGCTCCGAGCAGTGTCGCTTGTTCGGTCTCTCGATCTCCTCGTCGTATCTGAAAAACGAAAAACGATATACTCTTCCATAGCAAACAAAACGTTTCACTGTAATATAATTATTATCATTAATTTTATGTCGATGATAAAGTCAATTTTAACACGCGGCGGTGCAACGATGCGTAACGATGATACGATGACACGTGGGTATCCAGTTTTATATAAGTTCAGAGGAATTACCTGTTGAATATCCACTGGGAGGAGGTGGTGGTGGTTGGAGCCACGTGCACCGGTGGTATCTGAGGACGGAGATACTGGTCCAGCTCGTTGCTCTCGACCTCGCACTCCTGCAGATTCAATGGAATAAGACCAACGCCGCCCAGGCTTCCGAGCCCGTTCAGCTGACCCTCCTCGATCGGCAGTCCGTCACCGACTTCCATGTACCGGAAATCGGCACCGGGTTGCTGCTGATGCGGCGACTCGCTCGACGAACCGATCGCCAAATCTGGCTGGTACACCGTGCCGCTCGGTTGCGGCTGATTCCCCTGCGAATTCAATTTTTTCTCTCCTTTACAATTCTTACAATTAATAGATTTTTATTTTTAAATCAAATTCAAACAGGAATTTCTCTTATCGTTCAAAAACAATAATAGGGTGCTACTTAAATTACTTATAAGTACATAAAATCTGCAATTTATTAGTTAAATATTTCGAAACGATTAGTATACCTGATTGACGTAATGCTGTCCACGAGGCGTAGTAGGAGGAGTCGGCGGGGACAAGCCTTGATTAGGGGTAGTCGGAGGTGACGAGCTAACCCCGCTTTGGGGCGAGTTGGGACCTTGCACACCCCTGGGGCTCGTGTCCTCCTGTTTCAAGGACCTGGACACGTTGAACGTGACGTTGTTGCTTTGGTTCCGCGACGGCGAACTTTCCCTGCCGGAGGGTCCGTTCTGCTTTCGGCGCCGGGGTTGGTACTTGTAGTCCGGGTGCTCGCGCTTGTGAATCACGCGGAGACGATCGGCCTCTTCGATGAACGGCTTCTTGTCGTTATCTGAGAGCAATCTGCAATCGGACGTGCACCGGAGAATTATTATAAATCCATGTTTACTCGAGCGTAAGTAATCCAATGACGATATTAAACACGCAGAGGCTCAACGATTTTATAGAAGGATTATGGTGTTTGCGAAAAGGAGTGAGTCGCGAGGCTACTATCGATATCTCCAAGAAGCGGCCAGGTGTAGGCGTCGGAAATAAATCTTGTCCGTTTTCTTCCGGCTCGAAAGGTATCGCGCGCGTTCGAGGATATTAGACCGCGGTGTTTGTCGACAAAACGAAAACAGATAGGCTCGGTTCATCCTTGGCGCGTGCTAACAGCTGCCGGCCGGTTCCTGCCGCAGATAAAGGGCCCCCAAGGATCACAATAAACGCCTTGTCCCCGTCAGGTGAATTTTTCCGAACCTGCCCCTTCTGGCCTCCCAGCCTCGTGCAAATAACACCGGTGACGAACAGGTAAATCCATCTTATCTGACGGAAGCAACGTTTCAATCTTGGCCCGGTCATCGTTTAGTGGGGCGTTGAAATAAAATCGAGATCCTTAAGGTACGACTCTGTGAGATTCGCGCGAGCAGTTCGACGAGCGTAAATGACACGCGGTGGATGTCTCGCGAGCGAGGCAGATTTAAATTGGCTGACCCTGCGTTGCATCTGGCTAGGAAAAAGAGAGGCTGCGACGACGATCCGCTCTCTATCGTACTGACGAAAAAAACTACCCAAGGCAAAGTCCATTGACCAGATGGGGTTTCTCTTTCCCGACGTACGAAACGGTTTAAAAACGACGGCGGCTGGTTCGAGGGCCTCGGCTCTCAGCGTTCCGATGTCCGTCGCGCGTTTACTAAACTCCATGAGGAGTCAAGACCGATTTTTCAAGTGTGACACCTAAGACAGGGTCTCTCTCTCTCTCTCTCTCGGGCACTTGAGCGCACGCGGAACAATGAAAATCGAGATTTTTCGAAGGATCCCGAGTGGCCGTGAAGTGGTGCTACGAGAATAATTTTTAGGGCGAAACGAATTCACGGAACGTGGAATAGCCGAGGTCTCGCGGCCGACACCGGAAAAGCTTATCGGTCTCTCAGTCTCTCGGGGCTTTACGAGCCCAGTGGGAACATAAACACGAGGAATTAAAGACTAACACGACGAGACGGAGCGAGATGCGTTTCGAGCCACGACGAAGCCGAACGCGGTCCACGCGTGTGTGCGCGCGTGTGTCCGTGAGCTGCGCCCTTAAGAGTCCACGCGGCGAGAAACACTAACCAGACCTCCCATTTATACTCCTCGAGTGTATCGTACACGGTGATAGAAACGCTCTCGTTCCAGCCTCTTCTGACGGCTGTATAGCCATCCAATCGCGTGTGAACCGTAATCGTCTACGAGCGATTAAATCGAAACCGATTTTGCTCGACGATTTTCCAACGCACGGTACGAGGGAGCTTTACGTCCCTGCGGTAGCCGGTGCTAACGCGGTTTCAGGTCAAGGTGCTAATTAATCGTTGCCATACCGGTAGAAATTTAAAGATTGCACGTGCCCTCGCGCTCTATTTTGACGTCGAGTCACCGAGGGTATCGGCGATCGAAATCGCGGTCGAGAGGGATTGTAAAATGATTCACCGCAGGGGTTCCGTTCGATGCGCGGCGTTCTGTGATCATCTGCACTCGGGTCCCGCCGGGGCACCTCGTTAGTCGCGATCAGGAAACGGAATATCCTCCTCGGACGCGGTCCGCGACTTTCACAACGAGAGAAGAGCACAGATTTTCTCTTCCGTCGGCGTTCGATTCGTCACGCGCCGCTTGCCATTCGGCGCGGACGGATTTTTATCGAATATTAAGAGACTCGAAAGGGGGCCAGCGACCCTTTCAACAACAATGTACGCGGGCGTTTGTCAACCGGGGACGATCGTAACACGTGTAGCGCTGGCGCCACGTGGTAAGAACATGTTCGAAGGAAAAAAGGCTCCTCGCCAATTCGGCTGTAAAAATAGAACGCGGCAACAAGTGGTCGCGTGGTCCGTTGCTCCAGCGAAACGGAGTTCCTGGAGCCGAGCTAGACACCTTAATTTATCGTATCTTTCTCGTAGTTTTTAGAAATACGATAAATTTCTCAAAAGTTGAACAAATTCGTTTAACATCTTCGAACGATTTGAGAGACTCGACATTTTTCACTCGCTTGCGAAAGACAGACTTTTCAAATATACTTGGACAGAAAAAAGTTAAAAGTTGTAAGGACTCACCGCCACAATTTCCCCAGCGTCTTGGAGAGCTCCGCGTTGTGAAGCTGAGGATACTGATCGGCGAGTATCCTCCTGGCTGCCTGGGCCCACACCATGAACGCGTTCATCGGTCTCTTGACGTGCGTTGCTCTTTTATCGCCGGAACCCCTGCAATTTGAGGACATTATCTTCATTGGAAGCGATTGTTTTCTTCAAACGGAGCCGGAGCCGTCGCGAGAAACTAGAGAATACGAGGAGCCGCGCCCGCGGTTTTGGTGACTTGCACCCCGGAGAAAATAATCAGGGGTACTACGGCCGCCCGGGTCATCCGGGGGGATACGCGGCACGCTTAAAACCGGCCTTAAAATAACACTGGCACTGCCAACGGGTGACGAGCAGGAATGGACGTATCCCTTTCTTTCCTAGAAGATGACTTCATAAAACCGTTGCCTCGTCCAGCCCGGGGATCGACGTGACTGACGTGATTGCTGTGCACAAGCCTTCCTCGCGCTGTTTTCTTTCTGGGATCAATCGAGCCCCGAGTCTCGAGAGCCGAACCTCGGCCGACGAAGGGCACAACGGTTTACCAGGATTGAACGTTCGACGAGAAAATACAGAGGCTGCGACTTTACATTTGACACGAATCCCGATCTACCCCTCGCATCGATCGTCTCGAGGCTTCAAATTGTTCGATCGTACGAATTTACTTGAATCTCCCCTTCTCGTAAAATCGGTCTTACTTTCTCGCCGGGCTCCGTAAAGAGAGTTTGGAAAAAACGGATACGCTCATGGGTGAGGAGTCGAGGGAAGAATCCGAGAAACGATGCTCGTATGTAGGTACCTATTTCGGCCTCTTTGAAATAAGAGGGGCGTTAAATCCGTGTGTAAACCCGGGGAGCCGTTCGTTGGTAATTAGCGCGGGGCCACTAACAAGGGTTTTCACGGGAGTCGCGAGTCACTACGCTGTACGCACGCGGTTTACCTAGATACGCAAAAAATCTTCTTGCCTTTGCACCTCGTTTACGTGGTCGGGTACTTGGCTTTACGTTGCAACGAGATGCGTAGGCGTGGCACCGCGAGGACGCGACAGATGCGAACGTCGTCGACTCTCCTGCCTATTCCCGTTGTGCAAGAATTATAAGATTCCGAACGAGACCGTCACTCGTCGGTAGGCATGCTCTTGTTTCGACTGGATAAACAATCGTGTAACGCGCGAGTCGATGATCGAACGCCGGTGGAGGGGAAACGTGGAAGAGCAAACAGAGAAGGAAATGCGCAATAATGGTCTCGGTTGCATTCTCATGGGTTCCATGGGAATTAAGACTAGTCGATTTTATCGGGCCCTATCGTCGGAAATAAACATCGTACCCCCTTTAGCTACCCCGAGATAACCCCGTATAATTGAGGGTTAGCGCGATAAGCCGACGCGCATAGCGATACACGCTCGGAGATCTCAGTCGCAGTCGGGAAATTTTCCGTGAGGCTACACCTATTTACGTACACCTAAATGATATTAAATATATGTGTGTATATATATGCGCGTGATCCAAGTACGTGCCCCGAAATCGATCTGATGTAGCGCGTTCGATGGAAAACGGGTTACGTCACCTTCTCGAGCCGCGGTTTGATTTTATCGAATCGTAACGATCGTCGTTATGGCGCAACGAGATCGGCCGGCCATTAATTCGTCCCCTTCTATCGATACGCGGGCGAAAAAAATAATAAGTCTCGTTTCCTCTAATCGCGAATCGTCCTTTGCGAGAGCTTCTCCGCTTCCCACGAGCCGCGATCTCGGGACGACAAGGGAAGAAGAGAAGGAGGAGGGAGGGACCGACGAGAGATCGGGCATTAATTAGCTAATTTGCGTTAATTGGCAGGCGAGGACATTTTTCCATGAGCCGTTTCCCAAGCCGTGGAAACCAGTGCGTCATAATTGAGTTAGCGTTACGTATTTTTAAGACTCGTACGCCGAGCCGCGGTTACGGCTTTTACGCCCCTCGTTCTCTCTCGCTCTCTCGCCCGTCTCCTTTTTCCCTCGCCTTTTCCGCCGTCGCGTTAAACGCTTGGCGTTAAAACGCGCCTTCGTTAACGACGCTTGCTAAATACCAAGGAACACGAGGAACTCCGCGACCGACCAAAAGTGAAACCGACGCTCGACCCTTTGAAACGAGATTGCGAGATCATTTCGGACCGCCGCGTATTACGAAATTCGTGTAGGCCCCCGTTCAATCGTCGACTCACTTGGTAGCGACGGGTACCAGGGTCCAGTCGTACCCCTGGAGAACTTTGGTGACCGCCGCGCTGATCCTCTCGCCGCCGTTCGCGTTCACAGCAACCGTGACAGCTGACGCTTTGTTGCTGTTCAAGATACCGGCGTTGCTGCTGGGATTCGTCGCTGCGTTACTCGACGAAATAGACCCGGATGCCTCCGCCATGACGTCGTTCATCTTCCCGATTCTTCTTCCGCTTCTTCTCTTCGAGGGAACTGTGTGTGATCGCACGAAATCTAATTCATCGAGCGTTCATCGTCCAACGGGTCTCGCGTTACCGAGCGTCCGTTCGTTCGGTCGCGACGATCATTTTATCGTTCGAAACACACGTCACTTCCGTTTGTCTATTCGTTCTCAGCTGCGATCGCTCCTGCTTTTTCTCTCGCCTCGCGCTATCGAAGCGGCGCGCACGTTTGTCACGTTTAATTAATTTCGCACTCGATTACGAGAAGCGAACGCGGCCGAGCCCGTCGGGAACGCGTCGAGGTCTCCTCTCCGTCTATCTTCTCCGAGACTTTTTTCTCGCGTCGCCGCGAGCCACGGCAATTCTAATCTGTTCTTCTTTGTGCCGTCGACCCGTATTACTCTTTTTACGTTCGTTTCCGCTATCGGCCGTCCCAGAACGGAGCCGAGTTTACGCGAAACCGTGCTCTCTCGCCGCTTCTCGGAACTGCTTCCCTCACCGAAATACTCTCCGATGTTCTATTTCCTTTCGCCACTCGCGGAGACCTTTTACGAGTTTCCACTAACAATCGTTCACCAAGGGAATACTTTTCACGTAACACACCGATGCCTGACACGCGCGTGCCTCGCGGACAGCGTCGTCGATCTTTCGGCGAACGATCAGCACCGTTCAAAACGCGTCGGGACCAGAGACATCGCGGTTCTTCTCGAGTGAGAAAACTGGAATAATACGGGAACGAGCCGCGGGTGCTGGATTTCTAGTTGCTTGCGCGATCGGCGCTCGAGTGAGGTGGTTGTATCGCCTCAGGGCAGTTTCCACCGATCGCTCTCCGACCCGGCGTAGCGGCGGCTGCTGGTTGGGGGCGGGGCGACGGGCCGAGGAGCTGGTAACACTTGTTGCTTTGCGATCGTTCTCGACGATGAGGCCACCGGGACGAGGGGAAAGGGTCGACGGTTCGCCCGACGGAACTCCGAGAGGACGCTCCGCCGAGAGGTTTCAACGGCGAACAGCTAGAACTTAAATACGCGATTACGATGGGACACGACTTTCTCTGGGAGAACTGTCTAAATTGTTTAATAAATATGCAATCGGGTGAACGATGCTTCCTGGTAGATCGAACAGAACCGAGACAGACGTATGCGTCGGCGAATTCAGGAATGAACGATCGACCGTTTTTTATATCGACGTCGAGACGCCGATGGCCAGGCAGAGTCAGATCGATCCGATCGTTTTGATGCCGACTATCAGCCCCTCCAAGTATCTCAGCTCCGTTCGCTCTCTCTTCAGCAACGGAGGTCCGTATGGCCACGATATCCTCTGGGAGTAGGACCAATCGGGTTCCTCATCGTTCCACCTACCTCTCTTCTCGTTTCACCGTTTCTCTCAACGCGTGTCCTTCCGTCTCTCTCGGCTGTGTTTCCTCTCTCTTCGTTACTCCCACGCCGGGGCGGCGATTGGCCGACCGTCCGTTGGCAATAACGACGTCACAAGGAGGAGCGTGCAATTTTCCTGGCGATGCACCAAATGCGATCACGGCGGGTGCATTCGGCCACGGGGATCTCGGAAGCGACGCCGTTGCCGTCTCCTCGATTTTCGCGATGCGCATCGCCGTTCGAAACGAATGATAGATCGCTCGTGACGAAAACGACGATTCGGCGATGCGATAAATTTGCACTCGTTCGATTGAGTCTCTTCGCGTGGCCGCGTCCACCGTAGGAGAGGATTCGAAATAGCGGGTGGACCGGATCTTTATTTAAAGGACGAGGGGCGTCGCGCGACCGAGCTTACGCGATGACATCGTGCCGGTTCGATGATGATGGTGCAGAATGTACCGTAGTCCGTGTCACCGTTGGGGGTCCGAGAGTCGCGGCGCTCGCCACCCGGGGGGCTTACATATGTCGGTTACCCAGAGGTCTCTCGCTGCCCCTCGTATCCTTTCAAGTGTCCGACGCAACTCCGACTCCAGGACCCCCGGGAATCGGTGAAATCATTATTTTATATCTGCCACGCTCCTCGATGCCTCTCGTCTCGATCATCTCCGTACCTATCTCCCTCCCTCCGTTCCTGAAGCGTTATCAAATTCTATGACTTCTCACTGCCAGAGAAGGATTTACGTGGGCGAAGATCGATCGAAAAGGACGGGTCCTTGTCCCGGGTAAATCGCGACGCGCGTTTCCTGAAACGGAGCGGCCCTGAAACGAATTCTCCTTCGCGTACACACGCCGCTCGAGAGAGAACGAAGCCACATATTGGCGCCATGTGCGCTTCGGGATGTTTATCCCAGGAAGAGCAAAATTCCGGCTTGCTGAAATCAATATTATTGTTCGCGGTCGGCTAAATTTGAATCGCGATTCGGTTGCAGCGCGCGGCACCGCGCGTGCACGTATCGCGGGGCATCGAGAGATCGAGAAAGCGCGCGAGGGAATCGATGCGAGTGGACTGGTCGAGTAACTCCATTTGTTTCCAGCCGGATTAATCAGTCGGGCGAACGTTGCCTAAACACACCGCGATACACGTACGAACCACTGAATCTACTGAACGCGGGCTTCGGTCGAAGGAGCCGGGTACGTGTGTCCGTCGAACGTTCGTTCCGCGACGTGCAACCCTCTCGCCGCTCTGCACGTGAACGGGGAAAAAAAGACGAGGTTTCCCCGAGGCGCTGGACTCGCGTCGACACCGGGATAAAAACGTAGCGATCCGTGATCCGTCCAAGTGTCTCGAGCATTTCCGAGAGGCTGAGTGCGCGCGTTTACGCGGGTTAATCCCGCAAAGTGCGAGCAAGATGGCTCGCCTTTGATCTCGCACAAAAGCCGCCACACGGCATTGACCGTGGTTTATATATGCTCATGTATGGGCCACTGTCTTTGCTAGCTCACTCATTCATTAAATTCGTTGTATAATTAGGCTCCGCGGAGAGACCCGGGACTGTCGACCGGTGATTCTACCGCGACGACACGGGGAAAAAGAACGAATCCTTCTACTCGCAAACCGAATTTATGCCCTCGCATTCCCCGTAAGTCTCTTATTTTTCGCGAACTCGCGTTCGCTCCGATCTAATTATACGGCTCGCGGGGATCGAGTACCCAACATAGATCGCTTGTTTATTCGCGCTGCGACCGATCCGATCGAGAGCTCGCAACCTTTGGAACAATGATCCGCGAGACGGAAAAAGTTCTAATTCGGTCGAACAATGTGCCGCAGTACGCCTTAACGTAAATCGACACGCTGTTTCAAGCATGTGATTACAGTAATAAAGCCATGTAGTTCTTCGACTTATAAAGATCGTATAAGATGACCGATTCGCGTCCAGTTCCGATGAAAAACTGAACGAGACACCGGGGGCGGATGGAACCTGATCGAACGGTTCTTCAGCACAGGATGACCGTGCGAAGGATACACAGTGGAGAAGAGCCGGGCCGGGAAGAACAGAAAAGGAACAAGATCCTAGATATCCCCCACCAGACGTAGAGGTGGTCCACGGAACCGCCTCCGCGATCTACCATCCAACGTTTGGTGCGTGTGCCAGACGTGTGCTCGTCGTTTCTGCCTCTTTCGTGCGGACCAACCTGTGCGGTCCCTCGGCGAACGTTCACGTCCTCCGCGTCCGTGTGTCTCTTCTCTAGTCAGTCACCCATCGGAGTTTCCTTTGATTCGTCGCGAGCGTTACCGAGCGGAACCCGTACGAAAGTTTCACTTCGTTTTTCTCAGTGTTCGAGAGATCGAATTCGCGGAACCGGGACTCGGGTCTTGTTCGACGAACGCGCGTGGGCGATATTTGTCGAATGAGATAACGTGGAGGGCGACGGAAGTCGATGCGACGTCGATACCGCGCGGCTCGAGGAAGGACGAGGGTCCGTTCACGATAAATCACCGCCCAGATAACCCCCGGATTAATTATCCGACTCCGTTCTCGCGATCAGGATATGTGCTTTACGATGCGTTCTACGTGAATGAGTGCGCGATAAAACCGATAAGTCGGACAATTCGCCGAAATCCGTTTCCCCGTTCGTCGAAACGAATAAAGAGAGAACTGTTGTCCTCGTCGCGGATGTAGATACCTGCCGATACGTGAGACAGCAAGAGAGATGGAAGCTCATCACGGTAGCGGCGTCGCGTTGGCTGCGACGGAAACGGAACCCGGCCCGTCGAGCAACGAGCACAACAGCTCGCTGGACGACGCCGTGGGCAAACTGCTTCAAGGTTCGCTTGGAAATGAACATTTTTTTTTATAACAATGCCGTTCCTTAATCATTACCGAGGTCGAAGCGTGTTTGAAGTTTCTGTAACGCGCCTGAACCGTGAAACCTAACTTCTTTCACGTGGCCCTAGTAAAGGCCACATGGTCTTCAAAAACTGTAGGCCGCAGGAAACACCTGATAGACGTGACCTCGTGGAAAAAGTAATATGAAATGGGTCGGGTCGCGTATACGTTTCGAGTCTTTTTTGGTCGTCGGTCTCGTCGAGTTTGCAAGGAGACGCGTGCCGGGCTCGTTTAAGGACACTTTAATTGGCGTTGAAAGTCGGCTTCGGTGGCTGGCTTCTCGGATTTATCCCCGTGATACCCGACCGGATGGAGGGAAACTCGGGTGGGCACGATGGAAGCGGTGAACGCCGGAGAGGGAGACGGGGTGAGAAAGAGCGAGGACTGCGGAAAGACGATTTCGAGGAAGATCCGTGCGGCAGGTGCTGCGAGCCGAGCGAAACCGCTGTACGCTTGCCACCGACTAATTATGTTAGTACGAAATTAAATCTGAGACATCGACTCGAGCGCAGAGCATTGGCTCGGCGAAGGTGGAGACCGCGCAGGGGAGCAACGGGAGCTCGGCATGATTTACGAGGTCGCGCACGCGTCTCATTGAAATTCTGCGAACGGTCACACATACGCGTACGCCGACAAAAAACCCATGTAACTCTCTTTCCGTAACAACAGATAATGATAAAAAAAAAAATGAATCCTCGAGCCAACTGCCGTCTTAACTCTTCGCTAACATCGTTCGCCAATCTCTATGTAGACTTCTGCTACTTCCCGTAATCGCAAAAGGGTCGTCTTAACGCGATATCTCCCGCAGATATCGGCGTGAGGAACGATAAAATCGATCGATTCGCTTGCGCGGCAAAGCGAAGGTCCTCGTCAGTCATCGACGACGAGAAGGTGACGGTGCGTTCAACGACGTCCTCTCGTTAACGAGACTATCCGCAGTAAATTTGTACAGCAGTTAATGTAGCAAGAGTCGACGACAGGTCGGCATTGACGGTCGAGATGCCGAAACACACCGGTTCATTCAGCGTGGCTACAACTCCTTATTGTGAACTGTATTCTCTGCCTCTCCCGTGGAGCCATTCATCCTTCGGGAAAAGTACGAAAGTTCTCGGCCGGTCCGTTTCTTCGTCGTCCGATTAATCAATCCTAATTTACGATCTTCGTTATCTTGATACATCTATTTTACAGCCCTATTTCTTGTCCACTTAACTCGATATCGGTGGGACACGTGTGTCTCTGCCGAGGAACGCTCGAGCACGACGCTAATAATACAGTAATTTCGCTCGAAGAACCAGTCGATTAGCAAAGAAACCCATTCGTTTTCAAGCTACATATATTTCTCGCGCGAAACTTTTTCTATTCCCGTCGCTTTCTAAGGGTGCGAGCCCTTCCGCGTTTTCATGGAAAATATTCTGGTTCCTATCGGCGAGGACGTTCGCGCGAGGACCTCCATCGGACGTTAAAGGAGCCGACAGAGAGGCCGCGTCGGCGAACCGAATCCTTATGGCTCATGGTAATTAGCTCCCACGGTTTACACACCATCGGTGACCTTTCGCCACGTGCATCTTTTCCCTTCCCGCTGCCAGACACGTTTTAAACAGACCAAGTGTACTTTTTAAATTCGACACGATACTTTAACACCCCGTTTCGTTATAAGCGATTTATCAAATACCTATGCTACGAATGGCACGCGCCTCATGAACGAAGCGTATTGCGAGCTACGCGTATCGGATCCACGACGAGATTTCTCGGAATGGAAAACTCGACCTAAATAATCTTTCTATAGCCGGCGAGCAGTTCGTCGGAGCCGGAGGATACCGAGAGGAAGTCGGTAATAATAATTAGTCTCTTAATGCCAGCGAACGATCGTCCGATAAAGACCACCGCGCTCGAGACCTCTCGTAAAACTCCTCGCGCGCGATCCTCATAGAAAGATCATCTCGGCGAACGTCAACTGCGTAAACCCGAAGAAATATAAGTCGAGATACGTTGGCGCTGGTCAACCGATTACGCCCGGCTCACAGGGGATACAGGTGTCGTTTTATCTCGCTTTATCTGCTCCTTTACGATCCAATTCCGCGCAAAGATAGGCCGACTTCCGGTCGCCGTGTATATATACACTCGGTTGAAAAAAAAGCGCGTGCCGTTTCCTTCTCTTTTTTAAATATTCAACGGTTCGCAAATATTTCTTGCAGGCTACGACTGGACCTTGCTTCCGGTTACGTCTCGCGCAGGGGGACGAAGGAGCGCTCACGTGAAGCGTCCGATGAACGCGTTCATGGTCTGGGCTCAGGCCGCGAGACGCCGGCTGGCCGATCAGTACCCTCAGCTTCACAACGCCGAGCTATCGAAAACGCTGGGGAAACTGTGGAGGTACTAACGATGGTCACGAAAGTATCGTTCGCGAACGATTTCCTGCGAGATCTGGAGCACTTTCGTGGCCATAATTAAAACATCTATCGTAACTTGTGCTACATTAACGCGAGCGAATGTAACAGAATTCTGAGCGACGGTGAGAAGCAACCGTTCATAGAGGAAGCTGAGAGGCTGAGGAACGCGCACAAAAAGCAGCACCCGCATTACAAGGTGACCGTCGGCGATCGCTCTCGCCGAGAAAACAAAAAGCTAAATAAAATGCCAATTACAGTATCAGCCGCGTCGGCGGAAACCGAAATCGGACGAGCAGATGGGCATCATGATGCACCGGACGGCCCTGTCCTCGCCGACGACGTCTCTAGACTCCACTGGCTCGTTCGATTGCACGTATCCCCGTTTATATTCAGAAACCGGAATCAAAACGTTCGAGAGGCCTATTTACCACGACGGTAAGGCCAGTTACGATCTCTCGAGATCGTCCTGGCCCGGCGATTCGAATAAATATCAATCCGATCATTCGGTCGCGGAGAAACCGTACGAGGATACGAAGTACGAATCGAACGTGGCCAAGTGCTACGAGACCGTCAAATACCACGAGGTGTCTTCAGCCGCGAAGTACCACGAGACGATGCCGAAGTACTCGGAGCTGCAGGCGAAGCCGTACGATCTACCCAAATACCCGGAGAACCCCTTGAAATATCCGATGGACGTGACGAGTACGAGCAAGTCGCACGCGTACGTCCACACCCAGTATTACTCGGCTCCCGAGGGATACGCAATGCACGAGGACAACGAGTACCAGACGCAAGGCGTCTCGACTCATTCTTTCTATCCGTACATTTCCGCGTCCATGACACAGCCACCTTACTACATGGGTCCACGGTAGAGCATACAATGCTTTTATTCGTTTGCGTAATTTGGTTACAGAGACATTAACAATGTTTCGGGTGAACGTAGAACGAGCGCGCTAGGCTCGAATAGTTTATTAAACCGCTTTTCAACATTCTTCCGTTCTATGCTATTTATTTCTTTGGCAATACATGCAAATAAATAAACTAATAATTCAACAAATATCATCCTAATATCTAAGTACTTTATTTCACTGAGAATCTACTTTTTTTTAATCGAAGTGTGTGTGTGTGAGTACACTCTTATCTTCGCTCGTATCGTTTGCTATACAGATCCTTCTCACACGATCACGCACACACGCATATTTCCCTACATACTTTCCTATTCGTGCGAATCTTCCCCTAAACAGAAGATGAAATTGAAATTCTGACTGAACCGAATTGTGCACTATCAATGTTACAATTCATTGTATGCTGGATGTCCCGAAGTACATCAGATCGTAGATGACGAACAAATATACAAAAATAAATAAACGAGCCAACAGTGGTGGAAGGAAAAGAGAGCAGACATATTTTTGGCTAAATGCAAGAGATCCATGCCTACATACCCAGAGAGACTCGGCGACTCAATCGATTAGTCTCGGCTCATTCGTTCTATGTATCACGATTTATCACAGCAGCTAACTCTTTTATTTGATCCCTGTTCGCATACATGAACGCTTTGGCGCCCCATATCATCCCGGCTAGAATCTCGTCGCTCTTTTCATCCATAGCGATATCCTGCGTCAACGGCGGATTGAATCTATAATAGGGCACTCCGATCATGGAGCACCAGTTTCTCGCGCGGTCGACGATCCTCCCGTCGCAGGCTGTGGCCTGATCGACCAAGAGCATCGCGAGGACCGACATGCCCATAGCAAATTTCGCGGTGTCCCATAAGCTTTCGGGGAAGAATATATCAATGTCTTTCAACGGACTAGTAGGAATCATACCGGTTCCTAGTGATACTACCAACGAGAGCGGGACCACTTGGCTCTCGCGACCTACGGCCTTCAACGCGAGGTTGTACTCGTGAATTTCGGTCATCGCGTCCAGAGTCGGATTGTTCGCTATCAGTCCGCCGTCGAGGAACTTACCGAAAGCACGGAAATACGACGGGGCTGCACCGGTCGCCCTCGCGGCGTGCCAAACTAATTGCTCGTTCGGCGGAGTGATTTGTATCGAGTTTTCCGAAATGTTCAGTATCGTGCTAGGCGCGTCGTAATTACGGAACAGATAAAGATCGACGGGCTTTTTATCAGCCAGCACCCCGGTAATCATTACTTTTGGTTTTTTTATGTCCGACATGACCGTCTTCGCACCCAGGCTATTCTTCAGTACTCTCTCCAAACCTTCGCTGTTATACGGACGCGTGCCGACGAAGGCTTCCTCCTTGATGCGAAAGTAAAGCGCTTGACATTCCCGCAGAGATTTACCGGTTGCTAAGCCAAGGGCCAGAATCCCGCCGGTCGAGGTACCCGTGATCCAGTCGAAACATTCCACGATAGGCTTTTGCAGGATCGATTCGATCTCCAACAACGTTTGTACAAGAACCAAGCCGCGGATTCCGCCCCCGTCGAGGCAGAGAAGACGGCCGCCTTTAATGATCTGCGTTTGCGAGGCCATCTTGTCCATCCCAGAAACTTGAAGCATCTGATCCAAGACCGTGCGCGGCACGGCAGACGGTGGTTGGGGTGGCGCGATGCCGTTGAAGGTCTCGTCGTATTTGCAGCCGATGTTACAATTGATCATTTCCGGCGGGCAACGCTGAGCGCCTACTGCATCCAGGATGTACAGAATCTTCTGGCCCTCGTTGGTGTCGTGCTTCACTAAGTGTCGCGGTGTCTCCGCTTTGTAATTTTTAGCATCGATAACTGCGCCGAAACCTATCAGGCTCTGCACTATGGCCACCGTGCCTTCCGACACCGCCAAATGTAACGGCGTATTGCCGTCCTTGTCGACGATATTCACGGAGGCCATGTGACTCAACAGAGCCACCACGCACGGCAATCGTTTTCTCATAGCCATTATGTGTAATGCCGTGCGGCCGTCGAAGTTCAACGCGTCTATGTCGCAGTTACTCTCTATCAGCGCGTTGATCACTTCTCTGCTCAACGACCAATGCAACGGAGTGCCGCCGAATTTCATATCCTCCGCGTGAAGAACGTTCGGTTTACTGTGAAGAAAATCTCCTACGTAACCGGGACTAGAAGGTTGCCCCTCGGTCGCGGGAACGTTCACGTCCGCGCCGATCAGAAGAAGAGCTTTGACGCATTCGGGCTTGTTGTTCAGACACGCGACGTGCATCGGCGTATGACCGTTACTGTTACGACTATTTAAACTGTTCGGGAGATCGCCACCGAGTGCTAGAATTATTTCTTTGGTAGATGTGGCCGCGAAATGGTACACGGTGTTACCGCTGTAATCCAGATGTTCCAACGAACTTTTAGCCTCTATCAACATTTGTACTGTATGCAAATTATTCGTTTGCACCGCAACTTGCAAAGGAGACATTCCTGTCTCCACGTCTCCGCTATTTAACTGGCTATTCACGACATCATGCGTGAAGGCATTATACAGAGCGAAATAAGCTGCCATATGAGCCAACGTCCATGTAGGATGCTCCACTAATGTGTCGCATAACTTTTGTATCTTATTCACGTTACACATCTACGTAAATTCGTGGTCATCAATAATCTTCGTAAAATCCTAAACATAACTGGATATTGTAAACAGATATTTACCTCGCGACAGATTTGAACAATTATTGGAATCTTGTCTTTGAATATAATGAAATGTGTCTCTGCCTGTGATTTATCCTCTGACCTATATAAGCTGGAAACATTATATCTTAATTAGTATCCTGTCATTTGTAGTAAAAAGTAACTGTAGAATGATATATATACCTATATGCTTGATGCAACGTTTCTGTACAAGGTCTGTGAAGGACGATCTCATATTTTTCCTGAGTTTTCTCGCCCGGCCCATAAAGTACAATACCATCTTCTCGACATTCGATGTGTCGATTACTATAATTCTCAGGCTTAACTTCTTGGACCACGTTCGTGGGCAAGTCCGAGCAAACGATGTTTCGCAGTACGTTGCTGGCTATCGTCCCGAGCCAAGCCATGATGTCCAGATTGTAGGTTAACCAAGAAAACCGGAACCACACCTTTTTAATCGATTGACAGCCTGTTAAACAGATTCAGCCGGTTAAGCAAGACCGTATTGATCATGCCCTTAAAAGGGCAGACACTATGCGTCTCTTGCGTTGCGAGAAAAATAAATTCAATAATATGCTTACGAGGAACAACCTCGCGCTGACTCGACCAGCAGACGAAACGTTGAAGTCGCGATTGTAAATAAAGGCTTGGAACAGGCAGTGAAAACAACGTATCGATCCTGGCGATTACTTGAGTCTTCGCAAGAAAAGGTCGTCTCGAAATACGAGAATTCAATCACCATTATACTCGGTTACTTCAAATACGAGAAACTAATCAAAATTGATGACAGTTGTAATCTTCGGTACTTCCCATGCCGCTACCTTCCCCTCCCGTTTCGTTCCTCCAACTGTTGCTATTAAATTTCTGACGTAATACGAGTCATCGTGGGGCAACAATTTTCGTTATGTTCGATAAAGAATGATTCGATGCATTGCTACAAATTTTCCCCGTTAAGCCATTGGTTTTATGTCAACATTATCGCGTGCATTTTATACGTTTAACCTATATACGTACAAATCGTCGTATCGTACGTAATGCCATTGTTTTCAAATAAATTCTCTCCGAAGAAGACGCCTACGAGAAAAGTAGGTGTTTTCTTGGCGAATAAAGATTTCAGCCCGACGCGAATAGAGAAGGAATTAGGGCCGAATATCGGCCCTATACGCTTAAAGCTAGGAGATCAAGAAACACTTTTCGAGTCGGGATCATGGATCCCAGGTAAAATGTTACAACAAATTTTTCACGCGGACGAGTTTGAATTGTATCATTTGGAACCTGATCTTTCGTAGAATCGGGAAAAATCGGTGGTACATACAAGGAGAATGAAAAATTAAAGAAGGAAATAAAGAGATTGGAGGATGAAAACAACTTGCTGAAACTAAAATTTGAAGTCCTCCTCGATATGGTAATTAACGTTCGATTTCCATTGAAATGCTAACACCTTTTTTTTATATACATAATCACAGTCTGCTTTATTTTGTTCGGCAGTTGACACAAACGACGGCGGAGTCCAACTCGCAAAAAGAAGAATTGAATAAATTAAAGAAAAAATCATCGTACAGTAAAGACAGTGAATCTTGATACAAAGAGGATCGCATATCATTGCGACACACGTTTTTTACATTTCATTGATTGATTTAATTCACACATTCTAGTATGTGTAAATATATATACAATTACAATTGCTGCACAATATTTGATGTTAACGTAATAATTATGTATGTACAAAATATATTACAAAAATATACTATACGTAATGTAACAATAATATGAGGCACATTGTGAATTTTTATAAAAGTTATTGTTAATTGACTAGCCACATTAAAAATAATGGAAAAATGTATTTACAATACTAAATTTGTTTACTTGCTGTCAATCCATTGCATTCTGAGGACAATTCTTCCTTGTATGCCCTGAAAACAAAATCGTACGTTTCGATACAAATCGAAAGATTATCCATAAGACGCATACCTTCCATTTTACAAATCCCGCATTTCCTAGCAGTACGAGATTTTGTTTGTGGGTTTTTACTTCTGTTTTCTCCTCTCTTTCTTTTATTTTGGTTACTGAACGAGTTATTAAATGTGTTTTCTGCGTTTTCGTCGTCCCATTGAAAGAATTTGCATGATTCTTCTATACTCTTGGAGCACCCATAAAAAGGTCGCCCCTGATTAGGACCGTCTTTACGTACAACTCGTCTGAGACACGACAAACAATTATTTCTATGACAAACAACGAAAAGAGAATTCTGCTAAATGTGTACTCACCGAACTGCTGCTATGTTACAACGACATTTAATCTCGCCAGTGAGTGATGAAGACGCATCGTTGTAGCTCGGTCCAGCAATGGAGCTTGGTCCAGCATTGAAACTGGGAGCTGCTGTCCTATTTAAATCTCTAGTCGTATTGCTTTGCGCATTCTGGCTATCATCTGCCCATAGAAAGAAATCACAACCAGTACCTCGAGGTTTTGAACACGTGTAAAACCGTCTCCCTGAAAAATGTTCCAGAAGAATAATGAATCAATGATGAAAGAAGTGCTGTTTGTAAATATCTAAAAATATTCTACCCTGGTTTGGTCCTTCTTTTCTGACTGTAAATTGATTCGCGGCTTCATGACAATTACACATGACAGCAGCATCGTTACTACTCCATCGTGGATCTTGATTTGATCTTGAGTCGTCAGGAACTGAAATGTCTTCAGCTGACGTACGACTCTTCAAGTTGTTCCGCGGTCTAGTGTTCGTCGATCTGTTTGTATTATTATGACGGTTTTGATTCTGAGATCCGGAAACGAGTCCTATACTGGCGTGGTTCTGAGTAGAGAACCCGCGAGTCCCATTGCTTCTTGAGTTCGAAATGACAGATTCATTGGATAGACTACTGTAATCGGTGACGTTTCTGCCTTGACTTATTATATTATCTTTTTTCACAGATAAAGCTTCATTAAAGGCGGGGTCACAACCACCTATACATGTCGTATAATCAGCACCGAACATTGTATACAGATTTCGCGTTAGTTTGAATTTTAATTTTCGTATATTTCCTGGACACTGAAAATCGATATTGACATTAATCATAAATTACGATGTGGTGTTTCATGCATATAATAAAGCTATTTACGTGTGGGCAAACTTCGTCGAGAACGTCGACCGATTCAATATTTTCAGGAAACCAAATTGCATTGTTACACGTTGGAAATCCCATGCAACTAATAAATTTTCCTGTGCCCTGTTTCCTGGTTCTAAGGACCATGTCCGAGCCACATTTCGGACACTTGAAAATGGTAGTCTTCTCAGGCAGATCATTAAACGCTGGACCTTCCGACCCGCTTGGATGTTCGCCGAGATACTCGGCTAAAGCCTGATCGATCAAGTTGGCTCGTTCCAGCGATATTTTAAATACCTCGCGATATTTATCTATCTGATCTTTCAAAACGTCCTTTGGATCCTTTTGTCGTTCGCATATTCTATGCACAAACATACAAATTTCATTGACATATTCAGAGAACGTTGACTTATACGTATTACTAAAGCTAGTGAATTCGACTTACAACTTGAGACCTTTCTCTAAATCAGCTCTCAAGTCCGGTTTCGACATTTGAAAACCCATATTGTCGTATCCCATTACCAATCCTATTCCAAGCTTTCCTGGCATTAAATGCTTTCCATCCATCAAGCCTACGTATTGGCGAGACTTTATGGTATCTATATGATCGGCGTGCGTGGCATCAGTACCGATGCCGTACTTGTCCATCAAGCTGATCAAATCAGCCTCGGTTAACAATTGCGGTGGGGATGTTTCCTCTTCGACCATATCTATGCCAGCTGGTCTGAAAACTTCTCCCTCTCGATACGTGGCTATTTCTTTGTCCGACCATTTCTCATATATGTATACTTCTAAATAATTTTTCTCAATGATACGGAGACCATTAGCAATAAACTTCTCCCCAGCTATGTCGATCTCTACGACTGTTTCTTGGCCCACTGCGTTACTCGATAAACAAGCGAGAAAATGTCGAACTACATAGTTATAAACTTCCGCTTCGTCGCCTAAACAATTTATTGCACGTTAACGATAAACCGCTTTTTGTAAGAGAAAGCTTTTACTTACTACTTATTGTAGAGAAATCACAAAATCAATGCATACCATGTAAAGTATTACTATACTTTATTGGATGTATAGGAGGATGGGCTTGGTCACTCTTCTTGCCTTGCCTGGGAGTTAATCCATTTTGTAATAATCGCTGAGCGAAATTACCCCAAGACGAATCATTTACTTGTTCGTTGACCAACGGAGTTAAATTCAATTCTTTTGGAAATATATTTGTTTCCGTGCGAGGGTAGCTGATGAGACCCTGAGTGTACAACTTCTCTGCGATTTTCATTGCCTGCTTCGCACTCATGCGAAGTTTACGAGAACATTGTTTTTCCAATTCCTAAAGTCATTTAATTGAATTAAAATTAATTAATCGAAACGGCTATAGCAAGTACTTTTAATATGTGCTTACAACTGTATCTAGTGGTAACGGCCTCCACTTATTCTTGGGTTTAACTGTTATCTTTGTTACAGTAGCATTAGGTCGCTCCAAACACGTGTCCAAAAGTACTTCGCAAGGTAATTTCTCGAACAACCTTACTCTTGCCCATCTAAATTCCACAGAAATGTTATCACGATTATCTGTGACCCTTAGTTTCCAATATGGTTCTGGCTTGAATCTCTCTATTGCCAAAAATCTTTCAACTACAAATCCTAATGTAGGGAACTGACAGCTACCATAACTGATTAACATATCGGCAAGGCTTTGAGGAAATACTTGTTGTAATCTCAACGTTTGAAACCTTGTGAATGCAGCACCTGGAAACGTTACTCCTATTGTACATAAACTTGTAAATATATGAATTACAGAAAATTCACGGTAAATACCTATTCTTAAATCTAATTCACTTCTTACATCAACAGCATCACTGATTGCTTTGTCTGGCTGGCACAGATTCTGAAGAGCTCTATTTACAGATATACTCGTGATCTCAGAAAATTTTGCCCTGTCAAATGAATATATTTGAAGTTATACAGAATGAGATACGATCATGTCAATAACTTACTTTATTACCTATATATAAGAATATTCTGTTTGACAGCCTGACAGACTTGAATAACTTCGAAACCTATATTTTCTCCTTCACGATCACAATCTGTCCAAATAATTAATGCCTGGCATTGTTTCACTTCTCTTTCCAATGTTCTCTTAATTTTTACACCATTCTCATCCGGACACTGTTTTATTACGGGTGCATCAAACAATGCTAATGGATGGCAACTTTGCCATTTACAATACGATCCAACGAATGCATAATTCAATAAGTGACCAGACACGGATGTCATGATCATGTCACAATTCTTATTCCACAACTGTACACTAAATTCATAGATCTTATTGTATGGGCTCAATCCATCTCTCTGCAAAACATGAAACAAAATAATTGTCACCTGTGCAGAAGATTGTACATTGTATTAGAAATAAATTATGGTTTTTAAACACACTGTTTCTAATCATTGTTAAAATTATATAGTGAACGAATAACAATTGGAACTAGAAAACAAAAAGGGTAAACCTGTAAATCAATGATACCTTATTATAACATCTCATGAGATAAACATGTGTCGTAATATTCGAAACTCTAAACTATTAAAAATTTATTTCTGGCAGAAGCTGATAATTAAAATAAGATTTTACGTACCCTTTTGGAACTACCACGGGACAGAAAACCAGCGATGGTTTTCGCGGCATCGTTCTTTTCTGCCACATTCAGGACTTTCATCTTCTGTACGGAACTCTTAAATCTCACGATAAGGTAACGATGTTGCTTGAATTTACACAAATTTAATTTTACAACATTGAACACCTTTATTACACGTAACATAAAGAATAAATTAAGTTTGAAATATCTCTTGGAGAGTGTTTACACTTTACACTTTACACTGACAGAGCAGAGAGAGCCATAGAGATATTATCTCTATGGAGAGAGCAGAGTTCAGCAGAGAGTGGTAGTAGACAGCAAATTCAAGTCACTAGTCTTATGCATGTGTTCGCGTTCGAGCTTCGAGCTACTAAACAGGACACATGAACGTAATAAATTCATCGACTATTCAAGAAAATATACATTGAATTCAATAGACAGTAATGAAACTACTATTGGTATTTGATTACCAGCAAAATATTATTTTATACTTTACGAAACGTTTGTGTGCGTGCGCGCCGAACAGTTAAAACCGGAAGGGAAGAGGAACGTCACTAGAGCGGGAATTCAGAGCGATTACAAATACGCTTTTATCGAAGGTAAAAAGATGAGCTGTACATACGATACACGATATTGTAGAAAATTGCATTTTTATTTAGATATACCTCATAGTTCAGTTATATTCAAGGATTATACTTTCCGTAGGTACAATTTGTTTGATCAACTTTTTCCTGCGTGTGTAGTGTATACTGTCGTATGTAATTGCTAGGTACCCATAGTAACCAAAAAATGCGATACATTTTCCTTATAAAATATAAACAGACAAGTGCCTGCCTAACGTTATCTTTTCCTATGCGCTAAATCAAAACGTAACGAGGAACAGTTTTCCCTCGGCAATTCGAATCTACACGTAGAAAATAGTGGTCTTTACATATTCTCTCTAGAAAGAAAGAAACGAATGAAACGATGAAAGAAAACAAACGAACGTTCTTTCAATTAAAATGTATCCAATATTATGCGCTACGCAACGATTCTTTGGGCATCCACTGAAGTGCACGATGCATAATTTGATTATTACGAAAAATAATGTCGTATCATCCGATCGAGGATCGGTTTTATCAAATGTGCATTCGACGAGATCGTATAAAACGTGAAACAATAAATCGTAAACGCGTACCTCCTCGTGGATGCTAAGACACTCCCTTTAAAATATACTGCTGTACTTCATACAATGTACATAGCTTGTTTTATAAAATAATCGACTAAAAATCTAATCGCTAAGTATGTCGGCAGATCATTGCCGCGCGTTATGTTCCGTTTCCAGTAGACATTCTCGTACGAGAATCCTGGCGTGTTGAATGCCCATTTTCAAACGTTCGGCCGCGCTGCGACTCCCGGCGTAAGAAAGGCGAATGTCTCTTCCGAGTTCCTCGATAATCACCAGTAACTGAGCGTACTTTCCTTGACCGGGCACGGTGGGGAAGTTAATCGTACTGGAAGGGCTGGCCTGCGCTACTTGAACGGTCTGTACGTTCTGAACGTTCTGCAGATTCCTCGGGTTTGGCACGGTGATCACAGGCTCGGGGATGCGAGGGATTTCCGGCACCTTCGACGGCGGCGGGTCGCTCAGTTTCGTTATCGTTATCTCGTTCAATTTGGCTAACTCGGTTAGTTTAGCCATCTCTGCCATCTTCGAATACTCAGGCATCTTCGTGATGTCGTTCTGCATGTTTGCCATTTTTATCATTTCGTTCATCTTCGTTTTCTCGTTCATCTTCGCGATTTCCTTTGCCATTTCGTTGATCTGTGCGATCTCGTTCAACTTTGTTATGTCGTTATTGTATTTGGCCATCTCAGTCATCTTCACCATCTCGTTCAGCTTCGCTATCTCGTTCATTCTTTGAACCTCGTTGATCTTGGCCATCTGAGACATCTTCATCATCTCGTTCATCTTAGCGATCTCGTTCATTTTCGTGATGTCGTTGTACTTGGCCATCTCCGACAGTTTCACCATCTCGTTCATCTTGGCGATCTCAGACATCTTCGCGATCTCCTGCATTTTCATATACTCACTCGTCTTCGCGTATTCGGCCATCTTCTCCATCTCGTATCTCTTAGCCATGTCCTGGGACATTTTGTTCAATTCAGTCATCTTGCTGAACTCCGCGAGCTGTGCCATTTGAACTATGTGCTCGGGCACTTTTCCTCTCTCCATCATCTGTTTCAGTTCCGCGGATATTTTATTTATATTCATCTCGGACATTTGAACCAGAGTTGCAGCGTCCGGCCTTTTGGAGAGTTCGGCTATCTTAGAGATCTCCCTTGCCAAATTCTCGTCCAAGCAACGCTTCTTCTTAGCACGATGCCTGGCCATACGTTGAGCTTCCTGCATTCTTCTAATTGCTGCCTGCTCCTCTGTCTCTTTAGCTCTGGCGTTCTTCATCCTCTAGCCGTATAATCTAATTGCACATTCTTCTATCACTTCTGATCTTATCCCTATCTTCAATGATCACTCGTTACCTTTACCTCTTTAAGCTGATACTCCTTCTTGGCCTTAGACAGAATGTGCACGCGATACAGATACTATCATCTACATCTACGCCAACTGTCATTTTTCTAAATACCCAATATCAAATTTCTCTTAAAATATACTCTCCACAGGCGTTATTGGTTAAACGCGTCACCAATCTTTTTATAATATTTATTTAATTAATCCTACATATTCCGTTGTACACAGCTTACGGCACGTATTACTTCTCCCCTTCGAACGTTACCTGTAACACGAAATCGTGCAATTGATCAGAATCGTCCCAATCGGGAACTATTAGGAGGGATAAAGAAAAGTCATTTACATATTCATCGATGCTCGCGTTACGTATCGTCTTATTTTGTCTAAACATGATTCGATCATGATTGTACGACAGATCTCGATTCTATGGACGCACGTCACACGCGATTCCAGGTAGAACGATCAACGATACCAATGGTTAAGAATCGAATTTGCACTCACGACAAAGGGAGCATCAACCTGACCGATCACCATAAGAAACACTGTGATCACGTACGTCGATAGCGAACGACGAACAAGCGTGTCAAAATATCCGACTTTCGACGGTTATTCGTAAAAAAGACGCGGGTGTCGGGGCTGGACGAAAAATTCACGTGGCACGTGCGCAAAAATTACTGTTTTCGAAATACATGTCCGTGTCGCGTGCGTGTGGCCGACGCGCGCGCCTGTGTGAGTGTCGTTGCCGCCGTCGTCGTCGTCGTCGTCGTCGTCTACTACCTGTACACGTAGCATGATATTGACTTGGCTCGTGCGTGTGTGCGTGTCTCCCAAAATTCGAAAGAAGAGCGTCGCGAAGTAATGCGGTTGAACGCATGCGCGTCGATCTAAGAACGCCGCTGTCTTTTCTCTGGAACGTTCACCGATCGCAACAATGGCGTAGCCAATTCAGTCGGTTTGTCGAAACGCACGATTGACCCTTCGCCCGAGATAAATCGCTTTACGTACCGGCTCTGTGTCACGTCCGTGCTCTTGCCGCGTCGTGACGCGTCTTCCTGAGTCACTCGTCGAACGATCACCACGAGTTCTTTTTAAGATGCACCGGAGACGAACGCACAATAGCGATATCGGCCGACATGTAAGATTTTCGTTCGGAGCCACTTTAAGGGGCCAAGCGGGGTCGCCGATAGGCTGCGTGTGACGTGGTTGCGTTTATTGACCATAACCCCTTCCTACTCCCGTCTGCAACTTCACGACTCACGACCACGACGGACCCGATGGACAGGTGTAGTACGCGTACGTACTGGTATGTATACGACCTGAGAGAGCATGAAACGATTCAGTGTACTCGAACGCGTCTTAACCTTCCTTTTGGCGGTGACCACGATGACCCCCGAGTATGTCCCAGTTTGGGTATCTTTGTCGGGTTAATTACGCGAATTTTTCTTGAAAATATTCGGTACTTACGAAGTGTTCAAAATTCTTTGTGAGCTTCTTTGAAGAAAGAGACAATTTTGCGGGACATTACGAGAACGAAGATTTTACGAGTCGTGAGTTACGAGGAACATTTCCTCAAGATCGAGGCAGAATTTAAAACATCGGTATTTTATTGATAATTAACGTCGATGTACTTTTCTTTCAGAGATGACCAGGAAATCAGAACCAGAAAACTCGATGTCATCTTCAATGTATATTCCATCCTACGAGTATTACTTCTTTTTATTGCTAATAATTCTTCCAGTGTATCTATTTTTTAAGTTGTGGTCATGGTTGGGCTGGGAGTTATTTGTAAATAATTAATTTGATCGGTAGTAATGTAAATTTCATCTTTAGTTAATCTCACTTTAAGTTTCTAACAC